TTTATATAACTAGTAAAAGAACTTTATGCGATAGACACATTTCATGTGTTGCAGATGAGGAAATGAATCACTGAAGGGTAAAGGGAGTAATCCATATTCAAGTATTAAGTGGCCAAATGGAGGTTCAAATGAGGCACAAAAAAAACAAAGGCAAAGAAATTTGTACTTCGCTCGGTGGTGATTCTCATCCAGCTGTCTGCATTTCCCTCATTCCTACTGTCTGTGTTGTATCTGGCTGCTCAGGGTGAACTTTCTGATTTCCTCCAACTGGGATGATGATGTTGAATGAAGTAAATGAGAGTGCTGGAGCCACTTTTGTCCTCTTGCACTTCTCAGAGTTCCCACATCTCCAGGCACCCCTCTTCCTGGTGTTCTTGGCCATCTACAATGTCACTGTCATGGGGAACTTGGGTAGGATTGGGGTCATAAAGATCAATCCCAAACTCCATACACCTATGTACTTATTCCTTGGCCATCTGTCCTTGGATTTTTGTTATTCCACTGTAGTCACACCCAAAATACTAGAAATCTTAGTTGTGAAAGAAAGAATTATCTCCTTCAGAGGATGCATAATACAGTTTTTGTTTACCATCATATTTGTGATTACAGAAGCAAATATATTAGCAGCGATGGCCTATGACTGGCTTGTGGCTGTTTATAAGCCCCTGCTCTACACAGTTGCTATTTTTCATAAGATCTGGGCTGTCCTTTTAGCTGGAACTCACATATGGGGTGGACTCGGTTCCATGACACTCATATATTCTCTTTTGGAAGTGTACTACTGTGGATCTACCATAAATCACTTTTGCTGTGAGTTCTCTGCCCTACTCTCTGTGTCCTGCTCTGACACAAACTTCAGCCAGATGTTGATGTTAGTCGTTTCTACAAGGAATGAGGCTTGTAGCCTCCTGGTCATCTTAACCTCCTATGTCTTCATAGTTGTCACTATCATCAAACTGTCTTCCACAGGTGGACATCAGAAAGCCTTCTCCACCTGTGCCTCCCACCTGACTACCATCACCATTTTCCTTGGGACTCTCTTTGTTCTCTATAGTGTTCCCAAATCTAAGAGCTCGTGGCTCCTCATTAAAGTAGCCACTGTGTTTTACTCCATTGCGATCCCTATGCTAAATCCTCTTATCTACAGCATTAGAAATAAGGAAGGAGTCCATCAGGAAGTTCCTTCACAGCAAACTGCTTTCTGTCTCAGTGTATTTACATGTGCACACATTCACATACATACAGATACACACATATCCTTGATTAGTTTTTAAAAGGTGCTTTATGTATTGCATTGATGGTTCTTAATTTTTTCTTCAAATAATGGTATAACATTTATCCAGAAAATTAACTTATATACATCCTTAATTATTAAATCCCACTTCGCTTTGAAAATCACCTGTGGGTAAAACTAAAAACGAATGAAAAATCTGCTATATTTCTCCCAGTATGTACGAGGTTAAATATTGATCCTTTAAAGATGTCCATATCTGAATCCTTGAAACCTGTTAATATGCTGCCCCTACATGTTCTCTTCCCTTCCTCTCAGTTTCTTCCTCTTTCTCTTTTTTAAATCATGAAATGTGGCATCTAATTACATAAGCATTTGTGAATAATAAAACTCTATGATACTTTCTCCAGGAGAGAAAAGACAGAAAAGTATCAGCAATTTATAAATTGCCCTTAAGCAGTTTACTAGTCTCTATGTCTTCCCCTCCTCACTGGCAGTAAAATCCATTATTGAGATTGTATTATTCAGATCATTTTATTTTTTTCATCAGAAACTCTTAAATATAGGTTATGAGAGTATAATTTTCAATTTTTTCTCTATTTGCAGATTATACAAATTAAATCTTATAGCATACATTCCGTTATGTCATAGATGTACTGAATTCTCACCCAGAGTGTAATTTCTCTACTCGCTCTCCTGATTGTGTATTTAGGTGCAGAGATTTTCTAATTTTTACTGAAGCAAAATTTTTTAAATTGTCCCTTTATATATTGAAGAGTTTTTAATATCTTATTTAGGTAACATTCCTCAACTTCAAAACAATGAAGGATAGTTAGGTAGTTTAGGCAGTATATTATCCTAAATTGTGTATACTCTTCTGTCATTTATATTATATTCTATTTTCATTGTTTTTTTGTATTCTATATTTTATTTTGTCTTTTTACATTGATTTTTGCATTCGTTTCCATGATCAAACTGGAATGGGTTTCTGTTGTGATATGGAAATAACCCTATTTTATATTTTAACTTCTGAAAGTATATTTGTCCCAACAAAATTTTTGAAAACTAACACCCTTATAAAGTTCTCTCCATTATTGTATTTTTCATAAAGTATGTGGTCATGTATGTATGGGTCAATGTCTAGGCTCTATATATGATTCGATTTGTTTTAAAATCAGAATCACCTATAACTAATAAGCTTTGATATTCAATAGATCAACTCCAAACATTTGTTATGTTTTTTGCAAGGTGATGTGATGTTTTTGTATCTTTACCTTACCGACCAAAGTTTAGCACAATCCCTGGGATTTAGGGTAAGATTACAGTCAATATATAGATATACTTGAAAGAAATAGCAAATTGACATTACCAGGTACTCTAAATCTAAAGTTTACTCTATCTTTCTGTTTATTTAGATTTACCAAAAGTTTCATAATAAAAGTTTATCATATTTTTACTGTAAAGTTCTTGCAAATATTTTATTTAATAAATCACTGAGAGCTTAGTATTTTTAATGCAGCTTTTTATGTCTATTGTAAAATGTTTGTTTTTAGGATAACATATTTTTACTTTGCCTATTTTGAGCAACTCTAACAAAATCTCTTATTAATTTCATAATTTACTTGTAGATTATCTTGTATTTTCATCATGTATATCACATAATGTCTGAATAAATACAGTATTGTTTAGTTATTTCAGATTTGGAAAAAATACTTTTTGTTGATCAAAGTATATTTTTTTCCAAATTTCTCTAGAGGACAAATAGCTTAAGATGAAAAGTTTCTCGAAGTCATGAAAATAAAACATTTATGTAAAGAACCAAGAATGTTTTAAATAAAAGTCATGAAAACATTATCTTCATCAGATATTCAATCTCATATAAGGAATTTCTTTTTTTTTGGATTATGATTAGCAATTTTACGAGGTCATCAGTTTCTCCATTGGAGTTCTGGATGTTTTAGTATGGTCCATTGATGTTAAACTTATTGGAAAACTGTTTTTATGAGCATTTAAAATTTTTTCTATTATTTGATTGTACACAATTTTAGATAAAGAACCAAAATGATAATGTCGCATGAAAAAAAACTCAGAATAGCGATGGTCAAAAACGTGATAATAGTTCAGCAATTGACAGGAAAATAAAGTTTTTTCACAGAGCATTTTAAGAAACCAGCTAACATCATGAGTGACAGCATCACACCAGGATCATCAGACTTTTATAAATGTCCCATAATCACTATAACATTCACATAAATAACATTTCCATGCAAATATAACTTTATATAACTATAAAGAAGATTAAGAAAGGTGAACATGTAATACCAAGAATATTGAGTAGAACTTCTGATATATTTAGTAACCTGTGTGAGAGAGCAAATGAAACAAACACATAAAAACAATAAAGGTGTTTACCAAGGAAAAAGCAAGAAGAGTATGTAACGCATCTTGCAATATTTGAAAGTCTATATTGTGGAAGACAGTAAATCAGCATTACTATATCTATGGACTCTAGAAGTAGAACTATATTGATTAGGTTCTGAAAATTATAAGAAAATTCAGTACTAATAAAGGACATCCTAAGATAAATGTTGAAGTATGGAAGACTGTAATGGTAGTGTTGTGGTTTGTTTCAATGACAGAATTTGAAGAGGAGTCATTAGATGTTTGGATAGGAGCTTTAATGTAAGGAATGGAGAACAGAACTATTGATATTGAAGACTAAACACAAGACTTGTGAAAATAGTTAGGAATCCTCTGCATTTCAACTGTGCCAAATCTTGTCTCAATCTTGGTTTAGACACGTCAAAAAAATTGTCTTAGTTTCTATTAGGCAGAGCACGATCTAACATTTCCAGGGATTCTCTCTCCATTCCGAGTTCTCAAACCCTCACTGATATAATGGTTTCATTTAGTTGCCTTGCAGTAAGTAGCAGAACATACTTCAAAATTCTTAACCTGCATATTTGTGATCAGTAAAAGTAAAATAAGTTGGGCTGGCCCGGTGGCACACTGGAGAGTGCGCTGCTTGGGAGCGTGGCGGCGCTCCCGCTGAGGGTTCGGATCCCATATGGAGACCGGTTCCCACTCACTGGCTGAGCACGGCGCGGGCGCAACACCAAGGGTTGCGATCCCGTTGCTGGTCCCCGGTACAGGTGTGACACCGAGGGTTGCGATCCCATTACTGGTCAGTAAAAAAGACAAAAAGGAAAAAAAAAAAAGTAAAATAAGTTATTGAATGTGAGGATATGCTTTTTTTATTGTCTATGCATTTGACTAAATAAGTAAGTCCCAAAAAGGTCAACGAAATCTCCTATGCCGTGAGATGTGTGATCACACAGCTGATGCTCTGTGGCTGGGATTAGTTGTGGTAGATTTCATGGTCGGCTCCTGCTTGGTGGACAAGTCTAATGTGCTACAGTTTATAGATGTTTTCAAAATGGAAACATCGTAATGATTGGGTCTCAAATCCATTTCTAGAACCAGTTTTTTATTTTTATTTTTTGGAGTGGTGATTAATCAGGTGGAATTTCTAATATTCAGACTGCTGTTGATTTACAAAAACAAAAAGTTCATATTTTTCTATTGCACATAATATTTCCTTCATCCTCAGCCACCATACCTAAGTTTGTCACATAAAAAGTAGTTTTGGTTGCTTTTCTGTGAGCTATTCCTTGAGTCCTATTTTTTTGTGGTTTATAATTGCTGATAAATAATTGGTGGTTTATTTCTATTAAAACAACATGCACAATAAACAGACTGCATGACCAGAAGAAGATATTTAATGTAAAACACTTAAGAAAATCTCAAAAATACCTCCCTAAGACAGTTTTATATCATTGAGCATTTTGTGGTTTATAAATGAACATATGGGGGGTGAGAACATTGTGATCAGTGGAATTTTTGTTTAGATATTCTATGAATACTTAATAATAGGATACACAAAGAATAGATAAACATTCAATATGCCAATTCAAAAGTGTGAATGTCTGCTAAATTATATATTTTTGTGAAGAGATTACTATTATTCCATTCTTAATGTATCAAAAATAGGTAATCTTCCCCACACTTCTTCTGCCATAATAACATAGCTACTATGGTAGTTCTATAGTTTTCTTGTTTTGTGTTATATTTTTCTTCTTCTCATATAATTACTTTATCTTTGAGCATTCAATGCTCAAAGTAGTACATACATTAAAAGCTAAATTACAGGAAATAGTAATTTAGTTCTATAATTTTTTCTTAATTTTCCACATAAAAAAACAAAAGTACTGAAGGACAAAGCTTATTGTCCATAATTAAAATGTTAGCAAGCTGTCAAGTAAGGTTCCAAATGAAGCATAACACTTTGAAAGCAAACTGACTACATTTGTCATTAGCAGTTTACAATGAGCCTCTCCTGAGTTACACCCACCCCACCTTCTTGAGTTCTGCTGCTCAGTTTTCCTTTCTTTTCTTTTCTTTCCAAATCAAAAGCCATGGGATTGAAAGAGGGAAAACAGAGCTCTTTGATCATGTTCATACTATGGGTTTCTCAGACTATCCACACCTGCAGATACCCGTGTTCCTGGTGGTGATGTACATCTACACAGCCACTCTGTTGGGGAATTTGAGCATAATTGGGGTCATAATGATCACTCCATACACCCATGCACCTTTTCCTCAGACATTTATCCTTACTATATATTTGTCATTCCAGTATATTCACACCCAAGGCACTAGAAATTAGTTGTAGAAAACAGATATATCTTCTCCAAATGATGCATGCTACAATTTTTCTTTGGCCGCTCATCTATGATTACAGAAATGTTGGTGTTAACAGTGATAGGGTATCACTAGTTTCTAGCTGTTCGCAACCCCATCTCTACACAGTTGCTATGTCTGATAAGATCTGTGCTCTCCTGTTAGCTGAAACTTCCATATGTGGTAGGCTCTCTTCCTTGACATTCACACATTCTCTGTTGGAACTATCCTACTGTGGATTTAACATCATAGATAACTCTGGCTGTGAGTTCTCTGCCTCCTTCTCTGTATCCTGCTCTGGCC